GTGCTGACTATATGATCTTAGGCATGTTGCTCATCTTCTCTTGGCCCATGATCTCATCTATAACATAGGAAAATACTTCATAGAGCTGTTGTGAACATAAAATGAGACAATGTTTTTTAAAGAGTTTGGCTTATTTTAGGTGTTCAACAAAAATTATTGCTATTTTCTCCATCTGTCTACCCAACACAATAATAAATGCCTTTTGAATGTTAAAACATGATGAATCAATTTATTTTGTTTAAGTGCTGAGATCCTCTTATAAAATAGAAGTTTTCAATGAATAGTGACTATTGGATAGGAAAGTATTTGAAGGAAAAATTTAAAAAATGAGTAATGACTAATGTTTCAAGAGTGTTTACCACATCTCAGGTACTGTGGTATACATTTTTGTTTAATCCTCATGACAACCATATGAAGTAGGTACTCTACAACTAAAATCCCCATTTATGAACAAGAAAACTGAGGTCTAGTAATTTATCTACAGCTGAGTGGTGAAGTCAAGATTACATTCCAGTTCTATCTGACTCTAGGACCCATATACTTAACTTTTGTTGTACTGCAGAATACTCGAGGTTTAAATACTCAATTTTCAGCCCTGCTTAGGGCTGGCTCTGTGTTTTATTGCCAAACTTAAAACAAGCTGTATATATTTGGATTAGAGCAAACATTGCCTAGGGCTTTCACAAACACCTCATGAAGACCATCCTGTTCCTTCCCCCATAAGACTGTGCCTTCCAATGTGCTTAGTAGCACCAGGAATCAGATCCTTTGAAGTATACAGCCCATGAAATCAACCTGCCTGGACTTTGGCCCATCTGCCAGCTCTGACTGAGTCAGCTGGCAGGAAAAAGGGCCAGAGGCTCAGATGTAATCAATTCCTAAACAGGCCCAACCACGCCACCTCCACCTTCTTCAACTTCTCTTATCCTTCCAACCTGATTTCACCACAAGAAATCTCTCAGAAGTGGCCCAGTGATTCCCCATTAATGCCTCCCTCACTGACTCCCTGCCATGGACAGCCATACTGAAATCATAAACAACAGAAAAGATTAATGCTAATTAATTCTGGAGGCACTGGCAGTCTACTGGAATAGAGCGCAGACTTTGGAGTCAAATCAATCAGGGTTCAAAGTCCCAGCTTTCCAATATTGATGGGCAAATTCTATAATCTCCAAATTTCAGTTTTCTTATTGACAAATTAGGGAACAAGAATATTAACAGTATTTTAAGGAGTTGTCATAAAGATTAAATGAGAAATATGAATGATGTGCATGTAATGCCCTTGGAACAGTGCCTTTGCTTATAGTAGCATTCAAATGTTAGCTACAAATGGTGTGGCTTGCGGCAAGTGAACAATGGAGATTCTATCACTCTCCATCCAGAAAGTTTATGTAAAAATTTAAGAGTCCCTGGTGTATAGTAAGTATTCAAAACATCAATCCATTTGATCAATGAACTCCCTGTTTCCCACTTTAATAATAATAGTAAACAACTGGAGTTTCTAACATCACAAACCTAGGTGAGTCAGTTTTGCAGTCATGTATAAAAGGGAAAACAAATAGCTGTTCTGGCTAGACTATATTAGGCCCTAAGGATTCTATAGCAAGGTAGGCCGGGTGCAGTGGCTCACGCCTGTAATCCCAGCACTTTGGGAGGCAGAGGCGAGCGGATCACAAGGTCAGAAGATCAAGGCCATCCTGGCTAACACGGTGAAACCCCATCTCTATTAAAAATACAAAAAAAAAAAAAAAAAAAAATTAGAGTGGTGGCAGGTGCCTGTACTCCCAGATACTCGGGAGGCTGAGGCAGAATGGTGTGAACCCGGGAGGCAGAACTTGCAGTGAGCAGAGATTGCGCCACTGTACTCCAGCCTGGGCGACAGAGTGAGACTCTGTCTCATTAAAAAAAAAAAAAAAAAAAAGATTCTATAGCAAGGTAAGGACCAGGTGGGTACTTAGAAAACTTTATAGTTTACACAGCACTTAGTTTTCCTTTCACCAATTTGACCTTCACAACTTTATGGGGTAGTTCTCATACCATATTTGGAATTCTTTTAGAATACTTGTTTTACATATCATTTTCCTCTACTAAAAGGCAAGACAATTTTTTTCCTCATCTTTTTCTATCTAGATAAAATTTCACATACAAGGACAATGGCCTAGCAGAGTTCAAAGTGAGGTTTTTTTCCTTCTTCTTGAGACGGAGACTCACTCTATTGCCCAGGCTGGAGTGCAGTGGCGTGATCTCGACTCAGTGCAACCGTGGCTCACTGCAACCTCTGCCTCCCAGGTTCAAGTGATTCTCGTGCTTCAGCCTCCCGAGCAGCTAGAATTACAGGTGTGCCACCAAGCCAGGCTAATTTTTGTATTTTTAGTAGAGACGGGGTTTCGTCGTGTTGGCCAGGCTGGTTTCCAACTCCTGACCTCAGGTGATCCACTTGCCTCGGCCTCCCAAAGTGCTGGGATTACAGGTCTGATCAACCATGCTTGGCCTCAAAATGAGTTTCTGAATGGGGAGAAGTACAAAAAGAAATAGGAATCATTCTGCCTAGAAAGCCAGACATACGCTACCCATGAGATAATTTCTTTATCTGTAAAATTGCATGATTTGTACTTCAAAAAACTAAAAAAGATAAAGTATATAATGCTGATCTTTTGGTTGTAGTACACATTAATGAACCTGAAAGCAAATTGGATGCAATTTCTACTCATAAAAAGGAAGACGGAACATGACCATTTGTTAATGGTCAGGAGGCATGGTGTGATTTTCTCAAGTCTATAAAGGACCAATAAAGCATGGCAGAACCATATAGCACTATAAATTAATGGAACTATGCTTTTAGTTTACCTGGATACCCAGAGATGTTTCCAGGTCTGAGTTCCTGGGTCATGTGAATGGATTACAGAGGGGCTGCAAACAGTTTAAAACCATGGGTTTGACACAAATATAGATGTGGGAATGGTTAGAGTGAGGGGAGGGACTTGGCTGTTTCCTTTTGTGTGTGGCAGGGCGGGGAGGTAACATTCTGGATGTAGTCATAGCTTTTATAAAATTTTTATAGGTCCATGGATCCAAAACTTTAAGAGACACTACTATACGCATGAGAAAAATCCCTATTCAATAAACATTCACCAAATACTACATAGAGAAATTATGTTGTCTTTGTCCTCATAATGGAGGATAACATGCAAAACAAATATTCTGAATAATTCCAGTGATTTATGACATGAAGTCATTTTTTTCTTCTTGTTATCAGTACAAGTGGACTCCCTATGTGATGTCTTTCTACCTGCTTATCTCAATGATCTAAAGAAGATCCATGTTATAAAGTGTCTAACATGTAGTAGATCCTCAAATGTTAGTTCCTTGCCTTTCACTTATCAATTTAAAGCCACATTTATCTTCTCCCCTTCTTCCTCTCTCTAGTGTTTCTTTTAATTTTTATTGAAATGAGATCCTGCTGGAGGAATATGTTATCCAGAGTCAGAGCAGGAGGCATGGTGTGATTTTACCATATCTATGCACCTATAAAGTACAGCAGCAGTACAAAAGCCCTTAAATAATGTAGGTTAAATATCAAACGTTTTGGCATATAGAAGGTACTGAATGAATAGTGGCTAATAAAAATAAACAACAAAAAAATCAAATCAGGACAGCAGCTGCAGACTCAAAGGAAGTGTGAATAGAAAAAACACTGGTAAGTTTTCATACTCATAAAATATGAAAACTACAAGGAAGTTTAGAGTACATAAGTCATTCTATACATGAGAAGACTGAGGGTCACACAGCTCTATCCACTTGAAGCCAATTTAGATCAGCCTTAACTTTGCTATGCAACTTCTGACCAAACTACATGAAATCTGAAGAGATCATAATGCTTGCTAGAATTCGGTTACTGATATCCCAAATGTGTCTCTCTAGTTAAAACTAGAGGACAAAACCTTAAGGGAAAAAAACTAACACATACACACAAGGGTTTTGCTTCCAGCTGGAGAACTCTGAAGTGGACCTTGGTATATACTCAGTCCAATCTTACTATTTTACAGATTATGAAACTGAGGCCCAGAAAGGGGGACTTTTTTTTTTTTTTTTTTTTTCCAGATGGAGTTTTTGCACTTGTCACCCAGGCTGGAGTGCAATGGCGCCATCTCTGTTCACTCTGCCTCCTGTTTCAAGTGATTCTTCTGCCTCAGCCTCCTGAGTAGCTGGGATTACAGGCACCCATCACCATGCCTGGCTAATTTTTTGTATTTTTAATAGAGACAGGGTTTCACCATGTTGGTCAGGCTGCTTTTGAACTCCTGACCTCAGGTGATCTGCCTGCCTCAGCCTCCCAAAGTGCTGGGAGTACAGCCATGAGCCACTGCACCCGACTGGGGAAGTGACTTTTTAAGAGTGACTTACTCTGTGTAAGTTCAGTACAGAATCCCAGGTCTGCAGCTCCCAATTAAGATAGATGATTTTTTACATGAAGGTCACCACTCTACAGGACTCATCTCTTTGGTGCCTCCTATCTTTGAGAATCCAGGTCTCTTATATTACTCAAAACACACTACCCATATCTATCCTTCCATGCACATTGTTCCATCTCAGGCCCTAATCTCTTCCTTAAACCTTCAATCCCATCCTCTACCTAACCAAACACACACACCTTTTACCTTTTCTGAGTCCTAATTCTTTTTCTTTCATTTTTTTGAGACAAGATCTTGCTATGTGCTCAGCCTGGTCTTGAACTCCTGAGCTCAGGCCTCAGCCTCCTGAGTAGGTGGGACTACTGGCTTATATGCCACAATGCCAGATGGAGTCCTAATTCTCTTCAACAGTTTAAACTACAAGCTAAGGTACTAATGATCAATAATGATATAATTTAGCATTTCCTTGCTGATATTTCTACAAGGCTATTTGAAATGGCACTGTCTTAACCCAAAAAGGCATACTTTTTGAATAAGGAGTAACTATATGAAACATTTAAAGTTTCTTTTTTCTTTTTTTTTTTTTAGATGGAGTCTCACTCTCTAGCCCACTGACAGGGTGGAATGCAGTTGTGTGATCTCGGCTGATCGCAACCTCCACCTCCCGGGTTCAAACGATTCTCCTGCCTCAGTCTTCCTAGTAGCTGGGACTACTGGTGCACTCCAGGTGCACTGGCCCAAACGTTACTTTTTGAAAAATAACAATTTTTAACCACAAAAATTATAAATGAAACAGCTCAAGAGGATTTTTTTTTGAGGTGAATTATTTTGTATCTCAATTATGGTGGTGGTTATATGATTCTATGCATTTGTCAAAACTCATAGAATTGTATACCAAAATATGTAAACTTAAAAATTAACAAGACTTTTAAAAGAGGAAAAAAGTAATTGCATTGTCTACTGATGCCCCTTAGTTTTCCTGCCCAGGGGCAATCACAATGCAATACTGGTCTTCTAAAGAATCGGCCAGGCGTGGTGGCTCACACCTGTAATCTCAGCACTTTGGGAAGCCAAGGCACAAAGACTGCTGGAGCTCAGGAGTTTGAGACCAGCCCGGGCAACATGGCAAAACCCTGTCTCTACAAAAAATTATCAAGGCATGGTACCACGCATCTGTAGTATCAACTACTCGGGAGGCTGAGGTGGGAGGATCACTTCAGCCTGGGAGGCGGGGGCTGCAGTGAGCCAAGACTGTACCACCGCACTCCAGCCTGGGTGACAGAGCCAGACCCTGTCTCAAAAAGAAAAGAATTCTTTAACAGGAGAAAAAGCATACAGAATTATTTTTTTATTGACACATATATATTAGATGCATATAATTTGGGGTACATGTGATAATTTTATACATTTATGTAATTTGTGAAGATCAAATCAGTGTACTAAGAATGACATTCTAATGCTAGAAATTTAGTCACTGAGGCAGACTTTTTGGACAGATGTTTTTGGAAATGAAGACTTTTTAGTCATTGTAAGCTGGGAAATCCACTATTCTACTCAAGGTAAGGTTGGCACTTATTGAGACTAATGGAAATGAGAAAATTAGGGAATAAGGTCTGGGGAAGGTAAGTGAGAATTCAGACTGATACTAAAATTTTAACATACAGGGACTGGAGCCAAAACAATGATTTTTTAAAAAAGATTGCATAAGAACAAAAATGTGATTGTTTTCGAAGGTTACAGATTTTACTCCAGGGCTGTGCTGAAAAAGCATCCTGATTGATAGCCTACCTAGAATCAAATATTCTCTTCCCTTCCTACTAATATTACTGATATGTCTAATTCAATTTCTATACAGTTCTTAGTGTTTTTCTCAGTGATATGTCATTCATGCCAACATATCCATTTTACCCAATTGATACTGATTACTAAATGTAAAATTAATAGTTCTGTATTGTATTGCCATTACAATATTTATTTATTTATTTATTTATTTATTTATTTATTTTTTTGAGACGGAGTCTAGCTCTGTCGCCCAGGCTGGAGTGCAGTGGCGCAATCTCGGCTCACTGCAAGCTCCGCCTCCCGGGTTCACGCCATTCTCCTGCCTCAGCCTCCCAAGTAGCTGGGACTACAGGCGCCTGCCACCGCGCCCGGCTAATTTTTTCTATTTTTTGTAGAGACGGGGTTTCACCATGGTCTCGATCTCCTGACCTTGTGATCCGCCCGCCTCGGCCTCCCAAAGTGCTGGGATTACAGGCGTGAGCCACCGCGCCCGGCCAACAATATTTATATTATTCTACTGCAGCTTTTCTGGCTTGCAGATCTATTTTCCATCTCTCCCCGTCAAAACTGTCATAGACTCATATTGGCAAGTCTGTGTTTATTTATCTTGGTATCCCTAGAACCTACCTTGTATATTATCTGACACCTAGTGGATACCGAATGAATATATACTGAAGAAACAAAAGCCCTGTTCTAAGCAGAAGGAAATGTGAACACAAATATGGCTGAGCTCCTGCTTTTAAAAGAACTTACGGGCTGGACGCGTGGTGGCTCACGCCTGTAATCCCAGCACTTTGGGAGGCCGAGGCTGGATCACCTGAGGTCGGGAGTTCGAGACCAACCTGACCAAAATGGAGAAATCCTGTCTCTACTAAATATACAAAATTAGCCACCATTGTGGCACATGCCTGTAATCCCAGCTACTCTACTCAGGAGGCTGAGGCAGGAGAATTGCTTGAACCCGGGAGGCGGAGGTTGCGGTGACCCGAGATCGCGCCACTGCACTCCACCCTGGGAAACAAGAGCAAAACTGTGTCTCAAAAAAAAAAAAAAAAAAAAAAAAAAGAACTTAACTTAGTGGTCATGTACTGTCAATATAATTAGTAGGATACACACAACACACATAGGTGGGTAGAGGACAGAGGGTAGAGAAAGACTGAATGTAGTCCAATTACATGGCAACAACTTATCTCAACATTCTATTACAAACATTAGTGCTGGGGTATATAACAGGAGACCCTTTACTGTCCTTTCATAGGCCTGTGCTGATGACAGAAAACCTTACTGGGTGACAGGAAAATAGACTGGATATGGCCTATCTAAAAATGTTCTAATTGTATTTTATTTTTAAAGAAACTGAGGATGAAACAGCTGTTGACAAGACTGCATATTCTTGGAATCTGTTATCATAAAGAAGGTCCTAAAGGAAAACAATTTATTTCACTAAAAAACAAGTCTGACCGGGTGTGGTGGCCAGCACTTTGGGCCGAGGTGGGCGGATCACTTGAGGCCAGTTCAAGACCGGCCTGGCCAACATGGGGAAACCCTCTGTATCAAAAATACAAAAATTAGCTGGGTGTGGTGGCACATTGTGTAGTCCTGGCTACTCCGAAGGCTGAGGCAGGAGAATCACTTGAACCTGGGAGGCAGAGGTTGCAGTGAGCTGAGACCGCACCACTGTACTCCAGCCTGAGCAACAGAGCAAATTCCATCTCAAACAAACAAACAGGAAAAAAAATCCCCTAGTCTTTCTGGAGATATTTCACAGGCTTCCTTCAGAAGATAAGTGTTAACAGTAATGGCCTTGTGGTCATAGCGTTAACTACAGGATGACATAAAGCTCAACCATCAATACATAATGTTTTATTCTCCAATACTATGGTCCTCTCCTGATCCTTTCACAGACTAGTTCTGATGTACTGAGAATCGAGGACTCCAATTCAGTCTCCTGTTGAGGCGAGGTAGGATTTCATCAAGAAATGTTATATTTTCTTGATTGTCTGAAACAGTGCAGTTTGCTAGTGCAAAATCTGTCACAAAAGAAATGGATGAGTGGGAGGGGGATGTAAATTAATTGTTAAAGGACTAAGCAATCCATCAGAGTTTTAGAATTTACAACTTATTTATCCAGTAAGCAATTACTTCATGGCTACTGTGTATGTGCCAAGCAGAAGATAATAGCATATTACCTACTGGTAACAATAACATGTGGCTGCCAAGGCAGCTTAGTGGTTTATCAGCCAGCAGCATTGTGCTAAAAGGGAAGGAGAGTTAGAAGGTAAAATTATTTCTTAGATGTTAGAATCAGCTTTTGGGAAGCATCGTGAATTTTTTTGTTTATTTTATTTTATTTGAGAGACAAGGTCTTGGTCTGTAGCCCAAGCTGGAGTGCAGTGGCATGATCATGGCTCACTGCAGCCTCAACCTCTTGGGCTCAAGTGATCCTCACCTTAGGCAGATCACAAGGTCAGGAGTTCGAGACCAGCCTGGCCAACAGAGCGAAACCCCATCTCTACTAAAAATACAAAAATTAGCCAAGTGTGGTGGCACATGTCTACAGTCCCAGCTACTTGGGAGGGTGGGGTGGGAGAACTGCTTGAACCCGGGAGGCAGAGGTTGCAGTGAGCTGAGACCACGCCATTGCACTCCAGCCTGGGTGACAGAGTGAGACTCTCTAAATAATTAAATAAATATAGAAAATGGTTATATTACTCAGATAATACTTACCTTATCTCAATTTTTAAACTGTCAATGATAGAAGTAGACAGTTGAAGTTTATATACACACATGCAATATTTGGTATATATAGGATCATTTACTAAGACAGGTATTTTGGTAAAGTTAAAACTGAGGGGACATTGCTTTGTAACACCTAAGGTACACAAAATCATACTTCTCATGATAAAGAATGTTTTTAATAGATTATTTTCAGTTAATCCTAGTTTAAAAAAAAAGTTTTTTGGCCTCAAATAAAGTGATCTCACATGTGATATATCCATTTAATTCTTACAGCAACCTAGCGAGGAAGGTTTTATTCCTACTTCACACACAAAATGGAAGCAGAGTTAAATAACTTGCTTATAGTCAACAGTGATTGGTGGAAGTGTCATTTCAATCCTAGCTGACTGGCTCTGAAATCTACATTCTAAGTTGCTACACCATACTACCTTTTGAGTACTTAAGCATTTTTCATATATTTCCTTCTTTTTTATTTAATCTCAGAATGATGAACATGCCTAAAATCATATAATGTGTTTAGATTCAAATGCAAGGTATTTGTTGCTAAACCCAAACTCTTAATGACTAAACCAACTTCCCAAGATCATGGAGTAACGACCTTAGGTGGCTTTATTAATCATAATGTATAGTAGTATAAATACCGTGTGATAGGCTGTAGTTCTATTTTGACTTCAACTAGTACACAAATATTTTAATACCATGTCCCTACCAGGGTTCTAAGATGAATTACTTTCCAGTTATCTGTAAATTGTTATATGCATTTTAAGTGAACTCTATCTACCACAGCACCAAGCTATTCTTTAAAAATTCAGTGTTATCTCAAGCAACAAGGGGCTATACATAGCTTTTGTGTTTCTACTTAGGTTTAGGCACGTTAAATGGACCTGTATGAAGTTTCATGTCTTACCTGACTGAGCAGATATTAAGTTAAAATTAACATTAGGTTACAGGTGTGTCAAATAGCTCTCTAAATTTGGGTATAATATGGGCCCATGACAATAAACAATTACCATTAAACATTATTTTCGTATCTCTCCCTCCCTCCAGTGGTAAGATTGCTGGACCAAAGTTTTACATTCAGCAGGAACACGCAGGCACTGGCTTGGACACAAAATTAGGTTTTAGCCTAAATTTTTGAGATTTGGGGAGTCACACTGGATGTTTAAGACTCTGCACTTAACTGAAGTTCAAAATGTGTTAACTTGTGGCAGAATAACAGAACAGGTCACATTTTGCTTTTTCTTTGAAATGCCTCAGGTTATTCCTTCTGGTGCACATCTCATGA